TGTTGTTGTTGTTGTTCTTCTTCTTCTTCTTCTTCTTCTTCTTCTTCTTCTTCTTCTTCTTCTTCTTCTTCTTCTTCTTCTTCTTCAAGCATAATATCTTATAAATATTTCCACGAGCAGGATTCAATGAACTATGAATCATCATCATCATCGTCATCATCATCATCATCATCATCATCATCATCATCATCATCATCATCATCATCATCATCATCATCATTGCATTCATTTATATAGCGCATATCCACACTATTTACAGCATGCTCTATGCACTATACAACTACTGACTAGTCTAGTATTACCCCAGCTGACGCTAGAACACTCAGACATATTCTTGGCTTCCCGGGAAGCATACAGTGCAAGCTGCGATTGCAAGCGCTCAAACAGTATTTTAATAATAAGCTGACAGGATCGTTCGCTGGCGGTAGCCTTACCTTGTACCCTCACTTCAACCCTTGGACGAACAGCTGTTAGTTTCCAAATTTCAGCCCAGATATCAAAGTCTACAGGTGAATGTTGATATCAAGTGCCCCATTGATTGCAACTACTCGTTTAAAATTAAAGGTGACAGTCTCATTATCTCGAGATGTCCCTGTCAGGTCAGGTTTCAGTTTGTAATTAATCGCCTGTGTCATTTTATTGTTATCAATCTCTGCCATGATAAAATATATGCCTTGATGTACAGAAGGCTTCGGACTACTGACAATTGATAAGAAAAGTGCATACAATGTACTACTCTTCAACAGTTAAAAAAAACTATCGAGTATATCACAAATGATTTATCGATTCATCCATCCATCCATCCATCCATCCATCCATGAATACATTTAATTTTTATTCATCCTTATATCCACTTTTTCGCATATCTTTTGTTCTGCGTCCATCCGTCCATCCTTCTGTCCATAAATTTCAGTCGTTGAAAATTCCATATCCCCCCTCCCCTCCTCCGCTGGCTCACTCCCTCAGTCCATCCCTCCCACTCCAGCCCTGCGCCCAGATACACTTCAAGTCACCTTGCCCACTGTCGAAGAGACATACATGTATAGTCAAGTATTCTTCCTCAGAATTACCCGAGCACGTCCTTGTCTTGAGAAGTACAATGCAGCACAACGCAATACAGAACAACACAGCACAGCGCGGCAGCCCTGCTCAAAACTTCTAACTGTCACAAAGCTCCAACAAAATACACAAAATGTAATAACTTGTGAGGCATTGTGGTGAAATCAGGCGCTCGTCAAAATAATGAAATCAAAGAAACCGGCATTTTTCTGGCCGACGGGCAATTTAAAAAAATAAATCTTTTATCAACACTTTTAATATCCATTTTAAAAGCACTTCCTGTGTGGATTTTACTGAAAAACGTTGATCAAAGGCACAAAACAAGTACATTTACAGTTTTCAAAGACACTCAAACTTTGGATGCCATCCACAACCTCTTTGATTCCACCAAAATTTGGCGGCAATATTTTCGCTAATTGTACCTCTGACATTAGGCAACCTCCATCTCCTTCAATTGCAAATTTCTCGACTTCTACTTCTATTCGAGATGGAAAGGTATTTTTAATTTTTCACCAAAACACCAATAACACTATTTTTTTTTTGTTAAGTGTTTTACGGCGCTCGCAACTGCATAAAGTCATAATAATAAGAGCGCGCGGGACACTCCAAGCATTTTCAATTGGTAGGAAATTTTGAAGATTTTGCCCAGGTGGCGGCCGAAGCCTATAACTCTTTAACGCTATCTGCTCTAAAACTGACGAGCGCCTGATTCCACTACGCCGAGACACAATTACTCCACACATGTATCTCATTGCTTGTTCCCTCCGCTGGTCACGATTCTGCAAAGGAAAGGACTTTCATTTCTGGGTCATCTCCGACCTTTGACCCTGATAGGTCACCGTACCCCTTCTCCACTATCATATTCAAAGATGTACGACAGATTGTCATGATTGTATTATTTTTATCAGGATGTGCGCAACAGTTTTTTTTAACTTTCTCTCTCTCTCTCTCTCTCTCTCTCTCTCTC